AAGAAAACATCTAACTGCTTAACAAAAAAAGAAGATTTATGAAAAGAAACTAAAGTTTCCATCTATTCTCAATAATGAACTAGCCACTGAGTATAGTATTAAAAAGACATGTATTTCTGACGTTTTTAAGCAATTTTCTAAGTAGTTAAATATTGATACAACAAATAAAGCTGAGGCAAATCATATATGACCGTCAGTCAAAATAGCCTAAATTAGATAAAACTATGCATATTTAGGTTAAAAGTACACTTGTAGCAAATATAGATCTAACTCAAACTACTCTTATTACTAAATCAAGGTTTTCATTACAGATTTAAATATTTCTGACTTTAAAGATACCAACTAGGTTAATAAATTTCAGGAGTGATTAGATCTTCATCAGTATACTAGAAATAGTAAGACTACTAGTTTCCTATCCACAGAAACATTAAATCAACACAGAGAATGTTTTCAGAAAATCTGTGAAGAATATACTCTAGAAAACATATGGAATACAAATGAAACGTCTCTCTACTGGAAGATGTGCTTCTTCAAAACCTTATACAAGGTCCCATTTCAGGCTATAAGAAAGAAAAAGCACATATAACTATAATGTTTATAGCAAATACTACTAGTACAGAGAAGTTCCCTCCTGTGTTTATTCATATCTTTGAAAATCTGCACTTCCTTCGAAATATTAACAAAAAAAAAGGCTTCCTGTTTAGTACTATTAGAATGAAACAGCCTAAATACAAGTCTCTATGTATAATAATTAGTTAAACCATGTTAATGCAATGATAAAACTTTAAAACCATATATTCTTCTTTTTGTTGATTATTGTACTACTATATCTAGCAAGGGGAGCTTAGCAATATTTAAATTGAAAAGATACTAAAAAATACTACTGCTTACCTTCAGCTATGCAATGCTAGCATTATATATTCATTCAAGTACTACTATAAATATATTTTTGTAGAAAATTAGCTTGTAGCATTTGACAAAATACAAATAGAAGGTTCAGAAATTAAAGATTTTAGTATTCTTGATGCTATTAATACTACTTCTGAAGTATAGAATAATATTACTCAGGAAATGATTATGAACTGCTAGCTAAAAACAGGTATTCTTCTATGATACCAAATAGCTAAAAGAGATCGGTATGCCAGCAGATGAATCAAAAGTTGAAAAGTTAGTCTGATGAACTTGGTGATTTGATAATTAATTTGTCAATAAATAGTAAAATTGATGACTCTATAGATGCAAATGAATTTATAAACATTGATGCTGATATTGCTTTTGAGATGCTATCTGATAATGATATAATCTGCAATATTGAGAGTAAGAATAACCATCTTACTGAAGAAAAATATTAGAACCAGTATTTAAAATTACAGATCACGATGCTTTGAAAGCCTTAGATTTAATTAAAATATATCTTTAATAGCAATCTGCCAATTTTATAGCTACTGATAATAATAGAAATACTGTTCATAGGTTGAAAAAAGAGGTTTCAAGATATTCTGCTCTTTGAAAAAAGCAGGTTAACATTACTGAGTTTTTTTTGCAGTAAGGATTAGATAATTTTGAAGAGGTTTTTTTTTTTGATTCTTTTTTTTTTTAGTTTTTTTTTTTTTTCTTTTATATGTTTTTTTTAAGAATTATTCTTGC